GGGGGGGGGGGGGCAGGCTGCCAGGATACCTGTGCTGAGTCATCTCCACCATCCCTGATTTTACAGCAGCCATTTTTCCTGTGAGTCACAAGCCCCTCCCAACAGCAGAAGCCTGGGGAAAGTAAAAATACCCTACCCCTAGATACAGTTGGTCCACCCTCTGGAATCCAGCATGTGTCACCCTGCAAATTGACCCCTGCTGAGGAGGCAGCAGTCTCAGTGACTATGCGGAGGGTCCATTCTTTCAACATTCCTGGGAACCTAACTGGTGCTTCCCTCTCATGGAAGAGCTGATAGAAACTCCTGGTTTCCAGCAGACACCACTGGCCTGCCTAAGAGGGGCTCCGCCCTGCTGAGGACAGGGAAATATGATAGGAACACACCCACCATCTTCCCTTGAAATCTGTTGACCCACCTTATAGCCCCATGCTGCTAAAGAGCCAGCCTAAGAGCTTAGCTTGGCACCTCCCATGTGCAGCCAAGCCCAGTGGAGGCAGCCACAAGCTATGGATCACTGGAAGCTTTGAACAGGGTGCTGAAAGCCAAACATGGACAGCTTCTGACATTGGCTAGCACAAAAGGATCTCCTGGGAGGCCCCAAAGTGGCATACAAAACAATTAGCCTCAGACAACATAAGAGCAGAATCCAAAGGGAAATCCTAGCAGGCACCAAAATCTGCTGAGACAAACTTCACTTTCCCCCCCATTATTTTCTTTGTTTTTTCTTTTTTATTGCATTGGTATTATTATTATTGTTATCATTTTTTCTCTTTTCTCTCATGTTTCTTTCATATCTCATATTTGCCTCTTTCCTTTTCTTACTTTATTTTTTCTTTTCTTTATTTTGTTTTACTTTTCTTTCTCCTCTTTATAACTTTCCATATTTCTTCCTTCTTCTTTTCTTTTTTTTACCATTTTCCTTTTCCTATTCTTTTTTCTTATTTTTTCTCTCCCTTCTTTCCTTTCAGAATATTTTTTCTTCCCCTTCTTCTTCTAGTATTATTTTTATTTTATTATTATTATTTACTTTTTTATTATTCTTGTTCCCTTTCCTAGTTCTCTTTTCTCTAGTGGTTGTTTTTGCTGTTGGGTTCTTTTGTATGTTTTTGTTTTGTTTCTGTTTTGCTTTGTCCCGTCAGCACCTGTACAACAGCTTGCATGTCGTGGTTGAGGTTGAGCCCCATAGTTAGCCAGCCTGAGAGGCGATCCCATACATGAATGGAACAACAAGAATCAAAATACAATTACAACAGGAGAGCCCAAATAACCCACAAAAGGAACACTTCTAGAGCACCCAGCTCAGGAGTTCAAAGAGACCACATCACTTGGCCCCACAAGACATTTACTACAAAAGGCAGTCATAGCAGTTCTACCTAATACATAGAAACAAACATAAAGAAACAACTAAAATGGGAAGAGGAAGAAACAACCCCCAAATGAAAGAAAATGAGAAATCTTCAGAAAAAGAACCAAAAGAGATGGAGGTAAGCAATTTATCAGATGTAGAGTTCAGAATAATGGTTATAAGGATGCTCAAGAAACTTAGTGAGAACTACAAGGAACTTAATGGGAATTACAAGAAACTTAGAGAACTATAAGAAACTTGGTGAGAACTACATCGGCATGAATAAAAGACAGAAACCATGAATAAGAACCAGTTGGAAATGAAAAATACTATACCTGATATCAAGAATACATGGAATTAAAAGCAGACTTGATGAAACAGAGGATTGAATAAGAGATTTGGAAGACAAGGTAGGAAAAAAATCCAGTAAATTAGAGCAGGAAAAAGAAAAAGCACTTAAAAAGCATGAGAAGAGTTTAAGGGAACTTTGGGACAACATGGAATGGAACAATAGTGACATCACAGGGGTACCAGAGGGAGAAGAAAGTGAACAGGATATAGAGAACATTTTTGAAGAAATAATGACAAAAATCTTCCCTAACCTGGTGAAGGAAAAAGTCACACAAGTAGAGGAAGCACAGAGAGTCCCAATCAAGTTGAACACAAAGAGACACACACCAAAACACATCATAATTAAAATGTCAAACATTAAAGACAAAGAGAGAATCTTAAGGGTAGCAAGAGAGAGAGTGTCAGTCACCTACAATGGAGCTCCCATAAGGCTGTCAGCTGATTTCTCAACAGAAACACAACAGGCCAGAAGGAAATGGCATGAAGTATTCAGAGTAATGAAAAGCAAGGATCTGAAATCAAGACTACTCCATCCAGCAAGGCTATCATTAGAAACTGATGGTGAAACAAAGAGCTCACAGACCAAAAAAAAAAAAAAAGGACTGAAGGAGTTTATCACTACAAAGCCATTGCAAGAAATGTTAAAGAAACTGTTGGAAGAAGAAGAAGAACTAGAGATAGAGAGAGGAACATATGCAAAAGAATAAAAACAAAAAAATAAGTATCTATCAATCACAACCTTAAATGTAAATGGATTAAATAATCCAATCAAAAGACACTGGGTAGATGAATGGATAAAAAACACATGACCCATATATACAAGAGACCCACTTCAGAACAAAATACTCACACATGACAAAAGTGAAGGGATGGAAGAAAATTTTCCATGCAAATGAGGAAAAAAAGTAGAGGTAGCAATACTTATATCTGACAAAATACACTTCAAAGCAAAGGCCATAGTAAGGGACACAAAGGTCACTACTTAATACTCAAGAGATTGATCCAAAAAGAGGATATAACCCTGGTAAAGATATAACACACCTAATATAGGGACACCCTAAATATTTAAGAAAAAAACTCTTGGAGGACTTTAAGGGAAGATCAACAGCAATACAGTCATAGTAGGAGACTTTAACACCCCCTTGACATCACTGGATAGATCTTCCAGGAAGAAAACCAACATGGAAACTACAACCTTAAATGACAGACTAGATCAGATGGATTTAATTGGTATTTACAAAACATTTCACCCTTAAGCTGCAGAATATACATTCTTCTTAAGTGCACATGGAACATTCTCAAATATACCCCATGTTAGGACACAAAATAAGTCTTTACAAGTTCAAGATTATTGAAATCATATCAACATCTTCTCGAATCACAATGGCATGAAACTAGAAATCAACTATAATAAAAAAATCAAAAACCTCTCAAAGACATTCAAACACATGGAGGCTAAATAGCATGTTATGAAACAATGAATGGGTTACCAATGAGACCAAGGAAGAAACAAAAATCTCTCTAGAAGCAAATGAACACACAACAACCCCAAACCTATGAGACACAGTGAAAGAGTCCTGTGAAGGAAGTTCATAGCATTACAGGCCTACCTCAAGAAACAAGAAAAAGCTCAAGTAAATGATCTATCCCTACAACTAAAATAATGAGAAAGAGAACAACAAGAAAAGCCCAGAGTACGTAGAAGGAAGGAAATAATAAAGATCAGAGTGTAAACAGATGACATGGAGACTAAAAAGACAATAAAAAAGGTCAATGAAACTAAGAGTTGGTTCTTTGAAAAGATATGCAAGATTGATGAACCTTTGGCCAGGCTCATTACGAAACAAAGAGACAGGACCCAAATAAATAAAATCAGAAATGAAAGAGACAAAGTAACAACTGACATCACAGAAATACAAAGGATTGTAAGAAAATACATTGAACATTTATATGCCAACAAACTAGACAACCTAGGTGAAATGGACAAATTCCTGGAAACATACAATTTTCCAAAACTCAATCAGGAAGAATCAGAAAACCTGAATAAGCCAATAACAACTAATGAAATTGAAACAGCAATAAAAAACCTCCCAGCAAAAAAAGTCCTGGACTGGATGGATTCACAGGGGAGTTTTATCAAACATTCAAAGAAGAACTATACATTCCTCTATCCTCCTCAAGTGATCCAAAAAAGTTTGAGAAGGGAAGACTTTTAAGCTGTTTTTATGAGGCCAGTATTATCTTAATTCCAATACCAGGTTAAGACACTACAAAGAAAGAATGTTATAGACCAATATCCCTGATGAACATAGATGCTAAAATCTGCAACAAAATATTAGCAAATTGGACCCAGCAACATATTAAAAAGGTCATACACCATGACCAAGTAGGATTTATTTCAGGGATACAAGTCTGGTACAATGTTTGCAAATAAATAAATGTGGCACATAAACAAATGAAAGATAAAAACCACACGATCATATCAATAGGTGCAGAAAGAGACTTGCACAAAATCCAGCACCCAATTTTGATATAAACTCTCAGAAAAGTGGAAGTGGTGGGAACATACCTCAACATAATAGAGGCTATATATGACAAACTTACAGCCAACATCATACTCAAAGGGCAAAAACTAAAAGCGTGTCCCTTAAGAACAGGAACAAGACAAGGATGTCCCCTTTCACCACTCTTATTCAACATAGTACTGGAAGTCCTATCCACAGGTATCAGACAGGAAGAAAAAAAATAAAAGGCACTCAGATTGGAAAGAAGGAAGTAAAACTGTCATTATTCGCAAATGACATAATATTGTACATAGAAAACCCTAAAGAC